ACACACACAAAATAAATAAATAAATATTTTTAAAAATAAATAAATAAATACTAGAAATTAGGGGCTGGGGAGATAGCTCAGTAGAATAAGCTCCTGCCTGGCAAACCCAGGGTCCTGAGCTCAATCCCCGGTACCTCAAAAAATAAATAAATACATACATACATACATACATACATACTGGGAATTGCACCCAAGGCCTTTGCACTGAGCAACATTCAAGCCCTCATGAAGTTGCTAACTTGCCCAAGCGTGGCTCAAATTTAAACCCTCCTGCCTCAGCCTCCTGGGTGCTGGGATTATAGGCATGTACCACCTTACCCAGCCTGAGTTTATAAATTTAAAAATTAATTCAGGCTTTTTAACTTAATTCTTAAGAAATACCAATTAAGAGGCATAAAGAACCTTATATAACCTAAGACAAATAATCACTCTATCATTCTTAAGCATATTTTATCAGATATAATGGGGAACACCTGTAATCCCATCACTCAGAAGGCTGAAGCAGAGGCTAAACATGGTAGGACAGCCTGTAATTCCAGCAGACAGGAGGCTGAGGCAAGAGGATAGTGGCTAGTTAGAGGTCAGCCTGGGCTACAGAATGAAACCTTGTCTTAAAAAAAAAAAAAAAAAAAGAATATTTTCTTCCTTATCATTTTTGGGTTTTGTTTTTTTGGGTTTTTTTTTGGTTTGGTTTTGGCTTTTTGGTGACAGGGTCTTTCTATATAGCTCAGGCTCCACCAGGCTGGCCTCGAAATTGGGGAGGATCCTTCTGCCTCAGCCTGCCAGATTCTAGGATGACAGGCATGTATCATTATGTCTGCATATAAATTTTAAATTACTGTTTGACTGTCTGATTGATATTTTTGGTTATGGAAATCAAACCCAGGGCTTTGCACATGCTAAGCCAATGCTGTACCACTGAGCTGGCACCATTAACCTTTACATTTAATGGAGAAAAATAAATAAGCTCTACAAAACGACTTTGGACCAAGTGAAAGAAAGACAAGTAGCACATCCTACGGCCTGAGGGCAGACCACCATGCAAACCAGAACACAGTGACTTCTTCTGAGACACTATCTTGATAACTTATTCTGGGTGGCTTCAAACTTTTGATTCTTATGTCTCAACTTTCCGAGCAGTTGAAATTAGAGACATGTGATACCATGCCCTGCTACTATAAAGTATTTATAAAGTGTGTTTTTTGTGGTGACCACATTATTAAACTATTCAAAAGATTAAACTTTTTATACCTAAATGTGGAAGTTTCACTAAAATCTGAACAGCTCCTTAAAATGTTCCTCACCAGGTATCTGGAATACATATACAGGAAATAGGCTTTCTTGCTGTTGCAGCCATGAAGAAAATGCGCTGCCCGATCATACTCTTTAACATCAAAGTAGGCTTTGGCCAGGGTGTAAGCATCCATATCCTGGGCATCCTCCTAGAAAAGAGAGAGGCTGATACAAGTGGTTGGGAATACTACAACAACAGCACAAATATAAGAAGCAATTCATGGGGCCTGGGAGATGGCTCAGTGGAATAAGCGCTTCCCTAGCAAGCACAAGGGCCTGAGTTCAATCCCCAGTTCCGCAAAAAAAAAAAAAAAAAGAAGCAATTCATGAATTTCAGAATACAGGAAAATTATCTTTCTCCTACAACCAAACTTATATGTAAATTCATGGATACAATATATTTAGATATTTATTACCAGGTAAGCAAAATGTTTTTTCTTTTCTTTTCTTCCTTTTTTAAAAATTTATATTTTGAGACAGGGTCTCATCAGTTTAGGCTGGTCTTCAACTTACCACATAGCCCAAGCTGGCTACAAGCCTCCAGCCTACTGCTTCAGTGTACAAAGTACACAAAACAAAACAAAACAAAAAAAGAAGCTGGGTGTGATGACAAACATCTGCAATCCAACCACTCTAGGAAGCAATGGAAAAGTATCAGAAATTCACGCCCAGTCTTTTTTTTTTTTTTTTAATTTTATTTATTTGTTTATTTATTT